GCCTACAAGCAACATTGCCTATGCCAACGGGGTCGGGCTTGCATGCAGGACCTTCTACAACGGGGCAATCGGGCCTATCAGCAATACCGCCTATGCCAACCCCAGTCGATCCAAAGCACACAAAATTCAACGACATTGGGCTACGCTCACAAAATTCAAGGACATAGGGCCTTAATCCCCGTACGTCGACAAATTTTGTGGTCATTACGTTAAACCCTATTTAACGTAAGCTCCCGTTGTTTTCGACGGTCTGGGGTTGAGGTCGATAGTGGGTCTGCTGTTACACCTGTTTGCTGAAACTTGTGGGTTGCGGCAGCACAGGGCATCAAACCGCTCAGTATAAGATTACATAGGAGTAGCATCTACCTCTGGCTTGAAACAGCGCATGAAGGTGCTTGGGTTTCGGAGACTAGCTTGGGATCTAACGATGTTCCATAAACATATAATGGAGTACTTAAGGCTAGGAATCGAATGTGTGGATCACCGATTGTTCCCACACGTGCTCGTAGCGGCGTTGTTTTTTTCAGCACAAGGCGAAGATCTCGAAGCGCTTGCGTACAGCGAGTATACGGTTTCCTTAGATATCGAATCGAACCCTGGTGTGCTGCAGTTTGCTCACGGTTTTCCTGAATTTATTAAGCCGAGTTGCTTTGCTTCTCACGGCGTAGTGTGCAGGCGAAGCACATATCGACTGAGGAGTCTAAACTCCATCAAATCACCTTATTAATTGTTGCTTACTAAAGCTGTCGGTCAGGGAATATATAGAATAACATGCAGGAATTCCATTTGCAGCCGACTCGCGAGAGACCTGCTGCGATAGCAGCTTCCATTGACCCATCAGGTCTTCGTCGTGATAACAGTGGTAGTGACGTGCGTTTAATAGCTCCCGCCTGCTGTCGCGACAAATATGCTGGAAGGCCTGGGCATGTATATTATTTATACTATATTTGTTTATGGGTTTATAAGCTTTAAGTACGTACGAGTACTACGACAGGAAGATTACAAAATTGCCTTTAATGAAATTCCGGCACGTGTAATTTTGGGATCACCTTGAAGCGTGCCACGTCGGCGTGTATGCAGTGGCGCGCCAAGGCCTCGTAGTAGGCGATGAACTTGAGTCCAGCTTCACAGATCGTGTCGGCTTCGCTTTCCGTGAGATACCGTGATGCTCTCTCGGACCGGTCAAACCAAACCGCGATGCACGTCGCAGCTGCAGCTGCGAGCTCTAGCTCTCGATCATCATCGTACATGGCAACGGCTGCATTCAAGCAGATCTCCAAAAAGACCACAAAGACCCTACCGTTCCAGGCCTTGAGGTTCAGGCTGGGGTATGGGTCGCGCGTAATCATGCCGGCAGTCAAATGGTTTTGGCTGTGTTGAACTCGGTTCGCTGAAGCCCACCTGCGAAACCGATTGGAGCATTCCAGCAGAGCTCCTTCTTCCGGGCCGAAAAAGCCTCAACGATTTACCAGTATATACCCTAAACCTTGGTCTAGAGGGAGGCTTCAAGGGCAACTAGATCTTAAAACTATTAATATATTGCTCGATCCAGGCACCCTTGATCATCAGCTTTTCAATACAGCTACCAGAAAAGCTTTGGAGCACACCCAAATTCATTGTGTGCATGCTGCACCATCTGATGGCCCACGGCCCCCATCCCACAACCAGCATGAGCGGATTGCCCGGAGCCCTTCAGGGAAATTCGTTAACTAAATATACCCTGAACCCGAAGCCCCAAGCCCCATAACATAATATTTCGACTCTTAGACCCAAACATAACTTAACCATGCATGACAAGCCTAACGATGCTGTTGAAGTCAGTCACGGACCGTTCTGGGAAGTGTCGCAGCAAGGACAATCGCCACCTCGGACAGAAAACATACTAGGACTAGATATCCCTGTACAGAATCGCTCTCTGCTGCCCCGCCGCGAGTTGGGGCCTCGACTCATTGCCGTACAGCAGTGACACACCTTGGTAGATTGCCAGCTCGCCTGCAACTTCCAGAAGTCGCGATGCCAGACCCAATCGCCCCTGCACTCGACCAGACAGTGAGATCCTCCTGCCCAGGATATAAGTAAAAAAAAAAGTCAGCTTGGATCTTAATATTACCTCTGTTTCGATTGTTGAGGTGGATTGCTATGGCTCGAGGACATGGGCACGATTGTTCAGGCCCGCCTGCCAGTGCTGTACCGGCCGCTTTGCGACCATTATACACGAGCCCAGGGCCAACAGGTCCATTTTGAGGATGGACCCCAGCATACATCACATTGATGCTCCAGCAAAGTACATGTAGAACAGGATCTAGAGACTCGCTCCCCAGGCTTATCCAGGAGCGCAGGGTGACGATTGGAAAGCGCTTGAAAACCGATCCACCTTAATATGATGAAAGAACATGTAGATCTCGGTGCTGGGTGATGGTATTGATTAGCTGAGAGGGTTAAGTCCATAGGGCCAGGAACCTGAAAAAATCTCCATGATAGTTATTGGATCTTATTTAAAGTTAAACAGCGAACCATGTGGCGAAGATTCTCCCGTGCCAGCACCGGGGACATTGCAATCAATAGAACCTTGTCCCCTGCAAGATTGTAGCGAGCCTCGTCGCCGTATATTGACATTGGGTTGTGGCCCTGAGCAATGTGGTCTTTGCCCCATGTGGTGTGATCGCGAACATGGTTCCAAAATTTGTCGATCTCTTCTTGATCTCGTTGTAGACGATCTGTTGCCTCATTTACAATAACCCTTAAGCTTAAGCTTGGTACTATTCTGGGGTAAGGTTAACATTAATTATGTTGAGTTGCGTACAGATAGTCGAAGACTTCATGCGGCATGAGGAATGGTAGCCTCAAGGTGGATCGGCCTCGACGTTCGCGGACGTCCTTGATAGGAATCTGGATGTGGTGGATGTCCTTAGCTGACTTGATGTTTAGTCGGTCAGCTATATATATATATATATATATATTACCTATATATGAGTAAACCTAAAGCAAGAAATGTATAATGCGACAAGTATAATTGTACTCGTAACAATACCCAGACTCTAACGGTAGCCCCAGAGCTCGACATATGTCACGTTCCACATTGCTGGGGTGCCTTCCGAATGTTCCTGCCCTTGCTATCTTTCTAGTCAGCTCCGAGCAGTGGTCGCCGCTCTCCTGTTGCATCGCCAGGGCTGCTTCCTGGATGCCCTTGGCTGAGCTTGCCTCAGATGATACGTCGTTAAGATAATATTTGATGGTTAGGTTTCAGAGCTTGGGCTGGGGCTTGAGGGCTTCGGAACATCAGGGGTTCTAGGGCTTTGGGTCTTTAGTGAGGGCTTCGAAACTCTAGGGATTCTATTTGCTTTGGGTCTTTAGTGAAGGCTTCGGAACTCTAGGGATTCTAGGGCTTTGGGTCTTTAGTGAGGGCTTCGAAACTCCAGGGATTCTATTTGCTTTGGGTCTTTAGTGAGGGCTTCGGGACATCAGGGGTTCTCGGGCTTTGGGTCTTTAGCGAGGGCTTCGAAACTCTAGGGATTCTATTGCTTTGGGTCTTTAATGAAGGCTTCGGAACTCTAGGGATTCTGGGTCTTTAGTAAGGGCTTCGGAACTCTAGGGATTCCAGTGCTATTGGGTCTTTAGTGAGGGCTTCGGAACTGTAGGGATTAGGGCTTTGGGTCTTTAGTGAAAGCTTCGGAACTCTAGGGATTCTAGGGCTTAGGGTCTTTCAGGTTTAAAATAGATCACGACTAATATTAATGCACCCTGTAGTATACCAGGCAACACCGCTGCCCAGCTTGCTAAGCAAATGATCGGCAAACTCATGGCCTGGCACACAGGAGTGTAGAGGGTAAACAGCTACATTGTAGTTAATGCTTCACGAATGAAGAACGGCAAAACAGCATCAAGCGTATGAGTGCACGATTTTTTAACTTGTCAGCGAGCTTCCGCTAAGGCCGCTCTATCGATCTCCGGCCATCGCACCGGCTCCGACCTTGGAGAATAAGGGCTTAGTGCTTAGGGCTTAGGGTTTAGGGTTTAGGGTTTAGGGTTTAGGGTTAGCTAGGGTTACATGAACCCACAGTACAGTTGACTCCCTCGGCGCATGTTCTTTGAACACATGTGCGTGCTGCATCGATCATCGATCTTCTCCTACTGACTAGGTAGACTGAGCCTCACTGTCCGAGAGCTAGGTTCTAAGTGCACGTGCTAGCATTGATCAGCCGGTGCAAGACAGCGGTGCACTGAGCTATGCCAACGTATGTTAGGATAACCCGGCTGACCACCCCGTGAAGCTAGCAGTGGCACATCCCAGCTTCGTATATATGATAAGGCCGTCAACAGCTTCAAAATTTCAGGCTCGCAAGAAAATCGCCTGTGCTTAGGCAACCGCCTGCGCTTTCGCTTTGCTCTTAGCCTTGGGCTTAGCCGGGGCTACTATGTGCATGCGAACGTGCTTAGCGTTCGCCTTGAAATCATCGTTTGCCTTTGCAACAGCCTCCCCCAGAAGCCTCAGCTCATCTCCATCGACACCCCGAGCGATTGCGGCCTGCACGATCTTGCAGCTTCATGTTATGGGCATTTCTTGAGTTGGGTTTCGATCGTAAGGAAGTAGTTGGGATCAGCTTTAATGCATGATTCGGAGTCCTTGAAGCCTGGAGTTTAGGGTTCTAGGTTTCCAAGTGACTGGGTTCGTGTGAGAGAGAGGGAGGTTTCCGGGGTGGGGCCACGGGGTTGATTGTGTATGTGCACAAAACACTTATGAAATATACCGCCCAAAAATCAGGGATGCTGGTGGTTGCTTCGGGTTGGGGCGAGAGCTCAGTATTCAGGGGTTGGAGGTTTGCAGCTAGATCGATGTATATCCCCGAGGCCAGAAATTGACCTATGACATAGGTTTAGATATCCATATCGGGTTACAGAATATTAAGGCTAGGGTTTCGTTCTTAGGGGGCGGCTTTGCTGAATGTCTCCCAGGTCTGCCTCGAGTTTCTGGCGCTCCTCGGAGATCTGGGCACTGGTGCGGGCCATACTCTCCGTCAGGGCATTCGCAAGATTGTGGTCGCACCCAGCCTTTTGAAGCTTGTGCCCGAAGCCCGAGATCTCGAGAAGATTGGCATTCGCTTGCACGATTACCTTAGCTGGACATACAGATATTATTATCCTCTGTCTAGATTCTTAGATAAATTATTAACGATAATATACTGGTTCCAGTGTTAACCCGTAGCATTAAAAACTGATATTGAGCCCAGCTACGGCCTTCGCAATCTGCAACGGTGTTTTGGCTTTGGGTGTGGGGGTGTCATCACCCTTCCCTTCGCCCTTGTTCTTCCCCTTCTTACCACCAGCTTTTCCCTTATTCTTGCCACCGCCCTTGCCACGCCCCCCGCCCGGAAGCTCAACCGCAACGACCCCAGCACCTGCATCTGGCCCCGTGATCCTGAGTGCCGCTGCGGCCCCTGCAGGTCCAGCCCCACGCTGGTTGAAGCTGATGCTGCGTCCATGCGAGGACTCGTCTTCGTCCAATGCACTGTCCCAGCATCGGAACAATTTCATTTCCTGCCAGAACAGGCTGAAGTGTGTACTCGATATCCAATATTATTTGTTACCAGCTATATATAATGCGTCTATATATATATATACACATAATAAATATCTGTCTACTTTATCTGTATACATTTATATATCTATATATATATATATATATATATATTTATTTATTTATCGATATATATATATATATATATAGAAGATCCTCATCTCCGGGAAAGTCTGGATGCCAGCGCCATTCGCCGGTGCTCTCCTTCCAGGATAACCCTATCAATAATCGAGATCCTAGAACCATATCTTAAACCGCCCTAACCCTACACTTCAAGATTAGTAATGTTGTTGGACCCGAAGGTAAGCCGAACATGTGGAAGCAACAACTAGTAACTAGTCATTCATTTTCCCAGAACGATAATATTTAGGCACACTGAGGAGTTTAGCAAGATCTGGAAGCTAATACCCTGAGCCACGGGCGAGTCCTTGTGGGCGCAAAGCTTGCACACCTGCTCCTCGGTGTACCCGTAGCGGCTCTTGATCTCCTTCAGGGGACACCCGTATATGAAGCCCTTTTACCCGATCCCTCCTGGAACTAACACGAAGCTCCTTGCGGGTCAGCCATCGGCAGGACTCTTTCTGCCGATTCAGCTGCTTGGATTCCCACTGGGCATACACCTCGGTCTCACCCCAGTCCTCACCATGCCTAGCCCAATCGTCGAACATCCGGTTCAGCTTCGTTCTGTCGACCCGTCCTTAGATCGCTTAAAATTCACTATAAAGAGGCGTGCGTACTGGTCAAGTTTATGTACCGGTTGTGCGGGGATGAATATTGCAGTGGAGTAACCGTTGGGGAGCAGGCATTCATTGTAGGCCTCCAGTACCGCCAGAGGGCAGCTTGCACCTGACAGCACCGGTTTTTCGGCATGTAAGGGCTTAAGCTTTAGGGTTATTTAGGGTCCAGGCTTCGCTTGACAATCGCAGCTCGAGTTATGCTGGGTCTCCATCATCAATATATATTTGCTACTATAATGTTTGCATCAATCTGTCCTGGCGTATTTTGGAGCTTAAGGGTTCAGGATGTGGGTTTCCGTTCGATCATATTAATGCAACAAGAAGGCTCATGAAGGTCCGGTCGAATCGGGCTCGCTGATTCTTCTGGCGTCGCCTCTCTTCCTGCGCACACGACCCCGATCAAAGCTTTAAATTAATAATGCTAGAAGATCCCTTAGCTTAGACTCTTCGCAGAAGACTTAGGCATTCTGCAAAGCTCTCATCTCTGAAATTAAAGCCTACAAGAGAGACCACGACCACAGGGTCAAAGCCCCAAGCCCCAACAAACCCTGTGCCCAAAGCGAAAACTTATCCTAAAGCCAGAGCCTGCAACTGACTGAACCTCTACTTTTAAATCAGAAGCATATATGTGTGTTTGCATGCAACTACTAATAACTAATACTCACGCATACACAAATCACGGACACTGTTGATGCACACACAGAAATTCCTGAAAGTCTCATAAGATCAACATATATTTCTATATTGTGTAGTTAAAGACTACATATATATATATATATACTTAACTACATCTTCTAGATACAGAAATATATATATATATATATATATACACGTACATGTTGTAATTCATGTACATGTATATTTATATATACACACATGCACATACCGAAGCTTGAGCTTTTAAGATTAGAAACAGATCGATTACACATGTGTTCCACGTTGCGGGGTCCTGTGCTGCAGCCTGGGCCTCCACCAAGTCTGCTTCGCTATCGCTCGGGGTTGGGGCTTCAGACGGAATCTCGGTGTGGGCTGGGGATGCGGCTACGTGGGAACTCTGGCTTGGGAGTGTGGCTGCTTCGGAACTCTGGGCTGGGAGTGTGGCTGCTTCGGAACTCTGGGCTGGGAGTGCGGCCTGGGAACTCTGGGCTGGGAGTGCGGCCTGGGAACTCTGGGCTGGGGGCGCGGCTGCTTCGGACAAGGTTTTTTTGATGACATCCTGCGACATGGGCTCATGCTTGACTGGGATGTAGCTCGGTGGTGGCATGCTCTGTGCGTCTGCTTCTTCTGCAAGCAGCTTTTCGAAGTCCACGGTGTCGGGTCGCATGAGCATTTGGGCCATGTCGGCATTCTTCTCAACTAGCTTCTTCAGCATCGATTGGAAAAGCACGGCTTCGCTTGACTTCTGGGGTGCCACGGCTTCGCTTGACTTCTGGGGTGCCATGGCTTCGCTTGACTTCTGGGGTGCCAGGGCTTCGCTTGACTTCTGGGGTGCCGGGGCTTCGCTTGACTTCTGGGGTGCCAGGGCTTGGCTTGACTTCTGGGGTGCCATGGCTTCGTCAACGGCTTCGCTTGACTTCTGGGCTGCCAGGGCTTCGCTTGACTTCTGGGCTGCCACGGCTTCGCTTGACTTCTGGGCTGCCAGGGCTTCGCTTGACTTCTGGGCTGCCACGGCTTCGCTTGACTTCTGGGGTGCCATGGCTTCGTCTGGTGCCACGGCTTTGTTTGCCTTCGGGGGCTCTGCTGGGGCGGGGTCGTCAACAAGCGTGTCAGCGCCGTCGAAGTCAATTTGCAAGCTTAAGGATTCGAGATCCTTAGTCAACTGGGTCTCTATCTCGATGTCGTCGGTGCTCTCCTCCTGGGATCCGTCACCTTCCACTAGCAGCTGGCGAACCTCACGGGTAAGTTTATGTTGATAATTAAGGATTGATTTCGTGAGCCAGGAGACATGTGTGTACACGTGTGCATGTGTGCATATTTGTAATTAAGAACTTAATATCACATGCATAGCACAACAGACTATAATATAACAGATCTAGAGAATCTAGAAGAAACTTAATGCAGTAGCAGTAGAGTAGAATTAATAAATATATAGGACACATATATATATATATATGCATCGATAAATTGCAGACGAGGTACATACCTGACATCAGCCGGGGTTTCTGTCTGGTCGGGCAGGCTGTCAGCACTCGGCATCTTGAGCGGTTTAGGCCGGGCAGGCGTACCTAATTTCAGCAGTGTGATCAGTACATGTAGCATATGATAATGTACATTATATTATTTTCTGGTATTAAACAAGTATGCACAGATAGGCAAAAATCGAAAAGTACTACCTATATAGGGGCACCCTCGTCAAACTCCAAAGTCTTCTTGGCTCCTGGGGTTTTCTTCTCTGCGATGTCCATCTCGCCGGGGGTTGTGGCATCCTTCACCGCCTTGGGGAGAGGAGTGCTGGTCGATGGTGTCTTCTCAGCGCTTGGCAAAGGAGTCATCTTTGCACGACAACGTTTCCCAGGCCCGGCTTGCGGAGTCTTAGCATCATCCACTTTCTTGCCCTTCGGCTTTGCCGGCGTTCCCGACGATGCTTTGGTGGATGTGCTCCCGGCGGAATCGCTTCCCGCGTCGAGGTATCCATTAGCTCCTGCAGTTGCCAACGTCGCGCGTCGTTTCGCTGCAGCTGCCACAGCCAACTGTGCCACCTGTACGCATATATATGTATGCATATATAGATGCATGCACACACATATAGTCCGTAAAATTACAACATCAACCCCGCGACCCAGCGAGAACTCACTAGTACTCGCCCCGAGGCACCTTCAAGAGAGCGGCTGGATCGTCTCCGGGGCCAGACATCGCGCAGGCACCGCGAAAGACTAAGCAAAAGCTAGACTCGAGGTCCTAAAAGTTGCCCTCAGCAGAGCATTCCTTGAAGTTTCCCTTGCAGCCCAGTGCATTCTAGTCTGCCCAACCCTCTCTATGCCCAGAATCCCAGCCCGAAAGCCTGGAAACAAGGCCCAGCCGACCCCCGGAATCACGCGTTTTCACGCTTTTTCACGCTTTTCCACGCCCCCAGGTTTAACGTAATAGCTTTCTTATTAGGATCCAGGAACAGCGTTTTCACGTTTTTTCACGCTTTTTCGCGCTGTTTTGGGTCCCGGCCCAGCCACGTAGTGCTCCAAAAACGGCCCCGATTCTCCTTGAAACCCACCTGAAAACGGTAAATTACTGCCTATATAGGGCCTTAGACAGCCTAAACACCCTACATTGTGCAGAAACCCAGCGAAAGCTGTGCGATTATGGTCTGACTAGAACATCATGTCAGGGGAGTCAGAGGCACAAACCGACCTTCGGCTTGCTCTTTCAAGAGGAAGCTCCGGATTTCATCTAAATTGGCCCACTCATAGATACTGTAGTCCTGAGCACCAGGGTAGTTACCAAAAATCCTGTAGCGCATCCCGAAAACATCGAAGCGACTTTATTCTCCGGGCCTTCATCGTTGTGGTCCGTGCCAACAAATTTGTAGCCTCAATCCGCCCGGCAGGAATTGGGCACTTGGCCGTTGTGGCCTCGGGCAGGCTTATACTACTTGGAAGGAAATAGTTTCAAGTTTGGGTTTAAGGCTTAGGGTTTATAGGATTCAAGGAGGGTTTGTAGGATTGTACACTCAGCTTGGGTTTGTGCTAAAGTTGTCTCTGACACTTTAGGTTGCAAGTGTTCCGTTCCCGACATATAAGGTATGTATATCCAACCGGAGATCCAGCTCTATATAGGGCCTCGCATGGGATGTGTATATCTAAATGCATATAAATAGATAAATAAATAAAGATATATATATATATATAGCTACGGTATTATGGGTATCGGCCTACCAATAATAACAGAAGACAGTGGAAACATAGGGTGAGACGAGTGTCGGGATCCTTGATCACCTCCGCCACAAATTGCCCAAACTGATAAGGGTAAGCACCACTGGATTTCAACCGTCGTGTGCCCGTCCTTAAGTGCGAGCATTTAAGCCACCAGCTTCAAGCCTTAAAGTAGCTTTTGGGGTTTCGGGTTAGGAGCCTATGGATCAGCCCCAAGACCCAAGACCATCCCCGAAGTGGAGCCTAAAGAGATATAGGAGGAAGCCAGGCATGTAAGGATTATTTGATGGTGTCGTGGGGTACTGGTACGAGGCTTTAGTGTCAGCTTTGATAGTATCAGTAAACAGTCTTTACGGTCGGAGGTTGCCCAGCTAAACTTCGATAATTCTACATGGGCTAGCCACACAGAAAAATCAAGCCTAAGGTGACTAATTTGTGGCCGGGTTTCACCTTTTTCTTACCAGTAGTCTTGTCGACGGTTCTTTTTACCATCCCCGTAGTCCCCTGGAGCCGCTTCCTCTGGGCTTTGGTCAGCCTGCCATCGATGTTTGCGATCCCTGGCCTTGGCACATCATTCTCTAGAGAAACATACATATGTTCGGGAGTTTAGGGAGGAGCTTGAAGGTCTAGGCTAGGTGTATACTAAGTATATCTAACGGTCTATATAATTATGTTCTGGGCCGATCTATATCTACGCAAGAGCATGATTTTGGACGAAAATTATGGTGCGACCGCTTTGGTGGATGGCACTAAGCACCCGCGTGAGGCGCTCGAACGTGGCGCCCAGTTCGGTTTACGAGAACAGGCGACTCTTCGACCCCAAGAACAGGAGCATGGAGCGGGTCCCCGTACAAGCTATCAGGTGGGACAAACAACCGGAGTTTGAGATGAAACTCAAGAACGAAATCACTGTTCGAGATGGAACCCAAGAACGACATCACTGGTGTTGAGAAGAAGCTCGCCCATGTCGACACAGCATTAAATTAGGGAGTATATACTACGTATAAAAGAGCGTAGGTTTTTGCATGGCTAAGTACAAGCAGAGTCTAAGGTACTCCGTCTCCGACTAGACCTGCTTATTATGTAGCAAATTATATTGGCTGCTAGTTAAGGTTTTTCAGGTTGTAGCTGTGACCTGTTTGCGGATGCCCAGTTAATGGGGCTTATGCTTGAAGACTTGAGGGCTCCTAAAAAAAAAATATATATATATATATATATAGTTTAAGGGTGGAGGGCAAGAGCTAACCCAAAGTCATAATTTAGGCGTACTGGGGGAAAACACATATATATATATATGATATATAAATA